CCAAACAAAACAAGAAAAGAAACTCCTGAGTGTCAGAAACTAAAAAGAACAGAAGGAAAACTCTACATGGACAGAACGTGCTGCGACACAGAATAATTAGGAGTTAATTGCTCTTAATTTGAAGGTGGAAGTGGCCGCTGGGGCCGAGATGAATTTGCTCACCTGGTGGGAGAGGGCATTAGCCTGCCTAGCTGTCATCTGCTGCTCATAATAGGAGTCCCCAAAAACACTGCCCAGCATGGAAGAATGCTGAAAACAAAACAAGAGGCTTTATGGTGCGAACCCCTCCCCGGCCCCCACGGCCCCACCGGGAGCTGCGGGACATCCACGGGGCAGCCCCGAGCGCGGGGACAGGCACAGAACCCCCAGCAGCTCCTCCCCGAGCACACACGACACGGAAAACTCGGGGGGGATGGACACACACACACGGGGGGGGGGGGTACAAAACCAACTCGGGGGCTTCAGCTTTGGGGGGATTCGGGGGTAGAAAGGCCAGGCTGAGGGCAGAGAGGAGAGCCCAAGGTGGGGCTGGGCTGGCTCTGGCTCTGCAAGGACAAAAGTCACGGTTTAAAGGGGTTTTCCACGAGCAGCAGAGGTGAGGAGGGAGGCCAGGGGAGCGTGGGATCAGCAAGAATTCCAGGAGGAATTCCTGAGCCTTGCTGAGAAGCTGCTGTGCCCTCTGGCACCACAAGGGTTTGTCGTTATTCTCCATCAATTATCAACTGTTCCAGAGGTGACCAGGAATTCATCCATTAAAGGTGACCAGGAATTCATCCATTAAAGGTGACCAAGGATTCATCAATTATTCTAAAGATGATCAAGGATTCATCAATTAAAGGTGACCAAGGATTCATCAATTAAAGGTGATCAAGGATTCATCAATTGTTCTAAAGGTGATCAAGAATTCACAAATTGTTCTAAAAGTGTCCAAGAGTTCATAAATTGTTCTAAGGGTGACCAAGAATTCATAAATTGTTCTAAAAGTGTCCAAGAATTCATCAGTTGTTTGAAAGATGACCAAGAATTCATCAATTGTTTGAAAGGTGACCAAGAATGTGAGGACAGTGATTTAACACTCTGGAATACTGTACCCCCAAAAAATTCCAGATAGAAAAAAAAAAAATCAGAGATCACTTCTTTAAAACTCACAAACTCTGATATTCCAGCTGAAAAAAAAAAAAAAAGAAATCCATTTACTGGCAAGGAGAATGTAAAGGTAATTTGAGTGGAGAGATTGTCTCAGCCTTGAGGTAGAAATTCAATTGCTGGTTTAGTTAAAAGCAGAAGGCTACAAATTTCCCCCTTAAAAACCTAAGCAGAATGGGAAATGAAGGAAAAGCTTAGGAAGCATCAGAACAGGCACTCCACAGCTAAAGGCACTGAAGAGCCAGAGATTAAAGATACTCCCAAAAATGCCTTGTATTTAAAAAAGAACTCAAAAAACTGCCCCTTTGATCCCAGAGCATCCCTGTGAAGCAATTCCCATGTGTGAGGGGGTGGTTTGGACGCACTTGGGAGATTGTGGATTCACTTTCCTGGGATTTATGGTCTGTCCCACCCAGAGCACATTAACAACCAGGCCATCCCTGCTCCCCACCAGCAGGTAAACGTGGGAAATGGGTGTCACTGGAATAAGTTTTCCAATCTATCATCAAGTCCTCAAAACTCCAAGGGCTGCTGGATCCCTCGCCCAGGAGGGCTGCGAGGAAGGGATCACACACTGGGAGGGATCAAACATCCAGAGGGATCAAACACCACAAGAGCCACGTTACAGCTGGCAAGAGAAAAGGCAAAGCACTACTCAAATCGATTTATTTAAAGGAAAATGCGGGGGGTTTTTAACCACTGAGCCCTCATTTGCTGCCTTATCCCAACTCCAGATTATCCAGCCTGCTCCATCTGTTCCTCCTGAGAAACCTGGAGTCAAGAGTGCCCAGAGCTCACTCAGGCAAGTGGATCAGGACCATAACTCTGCCACGGAAAATGATTCCCAGGTGGAGGGGCAGGAACAGCATCAGCACTGCGGGACCATGGAGTCAATGAGGCTGGAAAAGACCTCTGACATCATCCAATCCAATCCAATCTCTGGGTTATAATCCCTTCTAAGGACAAACCTGAATTCTCAGGGTGTCACAGGCTCGACGTGAGGCAAAAGCAGCACCAGAAATCCAACTGCTATTCCAGAGCTCCAGAGAGCACCGAGGTATTTTTTTCCCCTTTAAACCCCCGTCCTTTCATTTCCCCGGGAGCTCTCCAGCAGTAGGGCAAACCCTAAAATCTCTGTGTTTCACTAAGCACTGTTCCCACCCTAAAAAACTTCAGGGAACCCAAAAAATGATCACCAGGAGAGCAGGAGGTGTTTGTGCAAGTCTGGGTCAGTAACTCCTAACAAAACACGGGATTTGCTCCTCATGTGAAGTGTGCCTGGTTACTACAGCTGCAAGCACTGAAACTCCCGAGGGAAATCCACTGCAAATGTCATTACTCCAACACTTCAGAGCCTTGGAAGGATTTATCAACAGCTCCGGGAAGAACATCTCGTGAACGGCAGGAACACTGGGCCGAGGGTTTGGTCAGCAGGGGATCTTCTGGGGTTAATGCTGGGGGGGGACTGCAAGGAAAAAAAAAAAACCAGCCCCAAGCACAAAACCCCTCCCTGGCTGGAATTATCCACCCCCAAAATACCTACCAGGTTGTCCGGGCTGGAGGCGCTAAAGCAGGAGGGGGTGTGAGCAGAGCAGGATGTGTGAGGGGAGGGGACAGCCATGCAAACACAGAGCTGGGGCTGCAGGCAGAGCTTTCCAATCCCTGGCTGGACACACACACACACACACACACACACACACACACACAGGGCTGGGACACGGGGGAAAAAGGGTCTGGAGAGGTGGGAAGATGAAGGAGAACCTCTGGTGATTGAACAGGGTGTGAGGCCACACCAGACCCGGCATCGTTCCCGGGTTTCAAGGGTGCCCCTCGTAACACCCCAAGGGTGGAACCCAAAATTCCTGGGAGAAAGAGGAGCACCTACTTCATCCCACTCCTGCTCTCCCTCCCTTACGCAGGGGCACCCCCAAAACCCTGCTTGGTTTTTAATTTCCCCCTTCAGAGGATCCCCAAGCTATGACTTCCACCCAGGACACGTGCATCTGTGAGGAGCTCCACGCAGGAAGGAAGAGCAGCTCTTCCACCACAGGAATATTCTCCTGTTGGAAGGGTTCTGCCTTCACTTTGGGCAGGTTAAAGGATCCTGGCACCTGGGAGCTGCCCCCATCGCCACAACCAACCCCAGTCCTCCCTCCAAACTGGTTCTTCTTTCCCCCCATTGCTCCCCTCCACATTTAAATTATTTCTGACCACCAGCAGCAGCTTTTGGGTGCTGGAGACAACAATCTTGGGTTTAATTTAGCAGAAATAAAGGATTCTGTGGGCATTTTTAAGAGGCCAATACCAGAGTATCAATAAATCCTCTTCCTTGCTCTCACAGAGTTGTGGTGTCTCACTTGAAAAGAGTAAAACCTAAGGAAGATTTTATGGGATAAAACAACCCCAGCAGGAAAAAATTACAGCCCAGTGTGTGCCCCACTTGCTGCACTTTGCACTGACCAGAGGCAACAAATCTGTGGGCAAAACCAGGACAGAGTTATTAAGATTACTGTCAAGGAGGAAAGAAAATCAACCTGAAAATCCCAACTGGCTGTGCTGCCCCTGTGGGAAGTGAGGGTTTGCAGCAGCTCTGCCCCCTGGGACAGCCCAAGGGTTAATTAACTGTGGTGTTTGGAGCCACACACAGGACACAGCAGGACTCACAGCAGCAGCAGCAGAGAGAGGCTGAGCAGCAGGTTAAGCCAGAATTAAGGATATCCAGTCAGTCCTGACCTGGATCTAGGTCTGAGCTTTACCAGTGGCCCGAGCCCGGCTAATGAGGGACGGAGCTTCTGCTTTGGGACCGTGAAGGGTTATTTACTCAGAAAGGCCCCTCAGCCTTCAGTGTTAAATGGTGACGCAGAAAATGTATTTTCAGACTCCTGCAAGAACTCCCTGCACCTTGTTTCTGCAGGTGGGACTCTCCAGGGCAGCCCAGCTGGAGCTGTTTCAGCAGCATCAATACTGAAAATGCCCTTTCTTACACTGGGGCACCCCCCAAACCCTGCTTGTTTTTAATGTCTTGCTGCTGGCAGGGAAAAATCCCCCTTCAGAGGATCACACACATCCCCAGACTATGACTTCCATCCAGGACACGTGGATCTGGGAGCAGATACACACAGAGGAAGGAAAACCAGCTGGCAGGCAAGGGAGAGAGTTGGTAACCCACTCCCTGCCAGCCACAAGGTACAGCTGCTCATTTTAGGAGCATTTTCTCCAGTGTTTTCCTTCACAGGGTGTGTTCCCACATTAAAAAGGTCCTGCTGTAAATGGGTTTGGCCACACAAGGGATGGCAGGAGGCACTGGAGCTCCCCTCTGCCCTCCCAGCCTTACCCATCAGCTCCCCTGGGACACTGGGAACCGAAAGGATTCTCCCTGGAGGTTCTGTCCATGCAACACCCCAAAGAAACCCCCCCCCAAAAACCCAGCCTTCAAACAGCAGCTTTGTTCCCCCCCACCCCCCAAAAAAAAGGCAATTCACCAGCTATTGCAAAACTCTGGCCCTGGAATGGAGGTGCAGCCGGGATGAGAGGTCGGAGATGCATGAGGAGCACACGGAGTTACAGTGAGACAGCTGTGGGTCAGTGATGGAGAGACTCAGCTAAGAACACACACGAGAAGCAAGGCCTGTGGAAGCACAGAGTCCCTTACTTGAGGGGAGCTGCCAGGAGAGAAGCCTTGATTGGAGACAGGAGAGGTGGGAGACTGGTTGGCTGGGGATCCAGCATTACTGCGGTACTGCTGGAGTGACGCCTACAGAACAACACAGAGTTAAACACCGTGGCACTGAGGGAGGCCTGCAGAAATCACACACACACACACACACACACTCCTGGCAGATCCAGCTGCGAGGAACCAGCCTCTTCAGCAGGTTTGGCTGTGGAGGAAGGCAGGGTTACACCCCTGACAGGGAGAGAGCTTGGGGGGGGGCAGCGTGGTGGGGTCTGTGTGAGCACGGGGCTGTGGACAGGCACAACCAGGGAGTATTTCCTCCCTCTGCTCAGTTGTGCCTCCATTTATTAAAAAAAAAAAAAAAAAAAATAAAAAAAAAATAAAAAAAAATCAGGTCAGCCAAGGATCGAGGGCAAAGAACTCTTGAAAGCTGGGAATAAGTCAAGAGGAGTGGCATTGATTCTTCACGCCCACGTGTGGGTTTGCCCTGCTCTGGGATCCTGCTCTGCCCCCAGCTGAAGAGCCTGGGGGTGCTCTGAACACCCCTGTTTGACACAGTGTGGGAATTCACACTGCGTTTTGCAGCTTTAAATCACTGACTTTTACACTGAGACGTGTTTTCCAAGATTTACCTTTTTTTTTTCCTCTCATCATTAAAACCCTGGATTTGAACAAGTTAATAATATTAATGGCATTTAAATAATGATGTACTAATTAACAGCAGCAGTAGCACAGCTCTCCTCACTCTACTTCCTCACAAATTACGGATGATTGAGGAAAAACCTGCAATCCAGTAAATTTAATCAGCTGCTTTGCAGTGTGGGAAGACACTGCACTTCCAACGGTTTGGAATTCTGTGAATCTCTGGAAAATATCTTTCTGTTCTGCACACCCCCCAAAGTACAAAGGAATTTCAATTCTGCTTTACAAAAGCTGTGGAGAAGCTGCCAGTGGGGCTGTGAGAGCTCAGCTTTTCCATAATCTGCCTTTAAATCTGTTTACTCGGGAATTATTTCAGCTGCTATAAAAGATACAAGCACGGCACCCTAAAAGTTAAGGTCATAAAGAGGTTTAGGATGAGGAAAGCAACACAGAAAGCAAAGGATGAAATCAGAACTGGCTGTACTGGCACTACATGAGGATTAGAACCAAAACACTGGGACATATTTTGAGTGGGAATCCTTTCCACTGCTGGACTGTCCTTCCCTCTTCCCCTTCCAGTCCTGAAAGGGAAGCAGCTGCTCTCAAGAAGAATTTTATCAGCACAAACTGTTAAAAATTTCACCCCCAAACAAGTGACAGATCAATAAGCAGTGATTTCTTCTCACTCTCCAGGCAATTCCCGTCCCTACAGCACTGCCAGGGCACCACAGAGCGGACAACCAGGATCCTACACGGGGCAGAAGGAGCGGGAGGAGCTGGGACATCCCTCCCTCCCTGATCCTGGCCCTGCATTTGGGCTTTGCAGCTGCTGAGACAGAACATTTCCTAACATTTCATGTTAAAAGGAGCAAGAAAAGGGATCTGTCTGCCCATAAACCCTCCCTGCGTGTCCAGACACACTCCCTGTCTTCTGGGCACCGAGGGCAGCCACAAATCCCATTTTCTGGAAGGTGATAACGGATGCCCTAAAAATTCCTTAAGTAAAAGGGTTCTAAGTAAAGGAAGTGTAAAAAACACTTGGTCCTTGACAGCTTTCCAACACATTTCCCAAATGTTCTTTGGATTGGAAAACGCTTGTTGGCAGGGTTTTTTTCCTCAAGGCTCCGTGGGCTTCCCTGGTCTGTGTGTTGGGGGTTGCGCTGAACACCCCGAAAATCTCCCACAGCAACAGCCCAGCAAGGTGTAAAATAAATGCTGATACACTGAAGCTGTTCCAAGCCAACCTGGAGCTGGAAGGGACGAAATTTAACGTAAATATGGCCACCCCGAGAGCACATGAAGCCCGAACTTTCCTCTAGAAGCTCCCATTCTGCGTGAGGTTCTGCCTGAGACGATGGATCTCACGGGATGAGGATGACCCGAAGCTGTCCAGGCCGATCCCTGCCGGGTTTTCCCAAGGAAAGCCGCTCCCAGACTCACCGAGTTGATGTCTATGCCCATGGAGGGCTGGCTCTGGCTCCCCGGAGGCGACTGTGGGATGGTGGAAGGTACCGTGACGGACAGAGGGGGGAGCTGAGGGCCCCTCTGCAGCCCCGAGCTCTGCAGGAGCGGGGGGTTCTGGGGCAGGGAACTGGCCACTGGCGGCTGCTGCTGCTGCTGGGAAGTTGTCTGGGTGAAAAAGGGGTACGGGGGAAGCTGCTGCTCCAGGGACAGTGCATCCATGGCCACGGCCTGGGAAACAAGGGGGACAATCAGCCACACTGTGGGGAACTGCCCTCGGCAGGGGGTGAGCTTTAAGGTCCCTTCCAACCCAAACCATCCTGGGATTGTTTAACTCAAAAGACCCAGCATCACCTCCAGCGTACAATAAACAAGCCCTTTAAAAGCCCAGTGGAATCTTGAGCTCAGAAATCCCCGTGGGCAGTCACAGGGGCAGTCACTCAGGAAATCAGTTCAAAAAGTTAATCGGGATTTTTTCTCGTGAGTTAAGAGAAATGTCTTTCAAATTTCACTTTGGGAGAGACAACAACTTCATGGAAATGCGTCCCAACAGGTGGTTTTTTTACCACAGTCCTAGGAAAGAAGAAGTAAAATCTCCCTTTTTAAGGCTCTGAATTAAGGAACACTTTTAAAGAAGGGAACTACAGAACAAGAGAGGTGAAATTCATGGAATCCCAGAATGGTTTGAGTGGGAAGGGATGTTAAAATTTCTGTGAGCAGGGACACCTTCCACTAGCCCAGGTTGCTCCAAACCCCATCCAACCCAGCCTTGGCCACTTCCAGGGATGGAGCAGCCACAGCTTCTCTGCCCAACCTGTGCCAGGGCCTCCCCATCCTCCCAGTTGGGAATCTCTTCCCGATATCCCACCAAACCCCACCTCTCTGCCAGTCTGAGCAGAGCAAAACAACAGATCTGTGACAAAACCAACCTCCACCCTGCCACCAGGTCCTACCTGAGTGATTGGTGACAGAGGGGAGAGCGTGGGGGACATTTGCTGGGACTGTGGCCTCCTGGAGTCCAAGGACAGGGGGCTCACGGCGGGCGGGCGGTGCTGCTGGGAAGGGGCCGGCGTCGTCGTCATTCCTGCTGGGAATGAGCACAGCAGATTGAGCAGGAGCATAGCCAGGATTTACTGACACCTGTACCACAGGTAATCCCCCTCGATGACCAGCAGCAAGTGGCCTGAGTGGACAACCACCCCACGCAAAGGGCTGGACGTGCCCCGGCCGAGCAGCCCGGGGCTCGTTAGGTGATTTGTAATTAATTTGCCCGGGCTCAGGAGCGGCAGGATGAGAGGAAGATCCCCGTGGCTTATCCTGGACTCAATCCAGGCACAGGTTCGTGCACAGATGACTTGGAAGAGGGAGAGGCAGAGCGGCCTCGGCGCTTCCAGGCCCTGCAGGGATCGTCCTCACGCAGCCCGAGCCTGGGCAAAGCGGGTTCTGCTCTATTTGTACAGGCTCCGGCTCTGGGAATGAGAGAACAGACCCTGCAGCCACACACTAATCAGAGGGCACTCGAGATACTGTAAAAGCAAACACCTCTTTAATGGAAAAAGCAGAAGAAAAACAGGTTGTGCAGGAAGAGCTCCCTTTCTAATGGCACAGCGCAGGAAATATCCATCACGCTCCCCAAGAGCCACGACCTAGCAGGGGGTAGGGACAAACAAACACCCTGAATTTGTTCCAATCAAGACAAAAATCTGGAAGTTTAGAAACCTCCCCTGTTTTCTGCCTCAGCCCAGAGCCACGGAGTCACCCCGGGAAGTGATTCCAGGACAGCGGGGCGAGCGAGCTGCTCTCCCGGAGCTGCCAGAAAAGGAGGGATCCACGGAGCCTGAGAGCTCCCAGGCACCTGGCAAAGGTTCAAGGCTTCCAGGCAGGATGCCAGGGAGCCAGGAAGTCCGGGCTGCCAAGGAGCCAGCAGGCAAGAGCGGCTCCAACTGCCGGGCTGTGTTTGCAAACCCGACGCTTCACCTCAGGGAGCGCGCCCGTGACCCGACACCCAACCGACACCTTTGGGTGGCACAAACGTGCAGGTCTGAGGGACACGACCAGTGTTTGCTGCCCCTCCTTCTGCCAGGGCTGCTCAAGGATGTGCCCGTGCAGGGCACGAGGTTCAAAAGGCCTTACCGAGGCTTTTCCTGCCAAAGAGCAGCAAGGGGAAGTTGGGGAAAAATCGGTTTAAAAGGTGGCCCAAAGACTGAGTAGGGTGGTGGGATGGTCTGCAAAGAGAAGCAGGAATACCATCCCATCTTTATTTTGTCACGTCTTTGACAGAGCAGGAGAAGTTTTCAAAGCAAATGGGTTTTACACCATTTAGTCTGCTAGATGTGGGTACAGCAAAAATTCCCCATTTCTGTGGGGAGCGACGGCCCGACCCTGGAACTGCCACTTTTGAGACCAAAAAAACTCGCTCAGGGATGCTGAAATCCTGTCCTCAAATGGTTAAACCCTCCTCTTGCTTCCTCCTCAAACTTACCTGCTCGGTCAGTAACCTGATTACAACAATTTCCTCTTCCTGATATAGGAGAGGATTGTCAAGTGGGAAAGGGAATCCTGCCCAGCACAGGAAATCAACTTTGTATTTTTGGATACAAATGCCTCATTTCTATTCTAGGAACCAACAGACTGCAACTGCCGCTGACAATAGGAAAACTCAACCCTCTTCATGACTATTGGAGGATAAACCAGTGAAATGATTTAAAGAACAATCATAATAATCAATAAACTGGTGCTTAGGCTACTTGCCTATGAAGTTAACAAGTCCTGAAAGGACCATCACTATGAATAATCTAAATTTCCAACAAGGTAAATGATGCTGGTTTGTGGGGTTTTAAAAATCGAATTATCCATCTTGCCAAAGTCCTGAAAAACCCCAACAAGCACAACTCAGGTTTCCCTTGGCGTCATTTCCCGAAGCCCTGAATGTTGAGGATGTTTTGGGAACTCAAGGCAGTCAAGCTGACAAAAGTGAGCACACCCTGGGAAGGCTCCACGTTGGTCCTGCCTGCTCAAAGAGGGAGATTTTGCTTCAGAGGAAGCAAACAATGTTTCTCCCTCTGAGAGAATCCTCACCTTTCAAAAATGCCCTTTTAAAGAAAAGGGAAATAAAAGGGCTGCTGAGGATGTTCCCATAACATCTGCTGGGGTTCAGCAGAAAGAATTACAAGAGTAATTAAAAAAAAAAAAAACCGACTCATGTGGTTTTATACATTAAAAAAAATTAAAAAATTAAAAATTAAAAAAGAAACCTCCCCCCCTAAAATCCTCAAACAAAATAAAAACCAAACCAAACCAACCTAACAAACAAAAACACACACACACAAAAAAAAACCCAAAAATAAAACAAAACCTCAAAACAAACCCGAAAGGGCAGGTTTGGGTACCAAGAACATCCTGTAACTAAACACAGCTTTCTTATGTTTTTTTTGTACATATAAAACCTTTTTACAAAGAGGAATCAATCAGCAGGGGAAGAGCAATTAACTCTCAGAAGAAATATTAATATTCTGGGCTGAAAATGCCACCATTCTCGAGCGAAATTCAGGCGCCAGGTGCCACAGCCCAGCCCTGGGAGCGATGATCTCACCCTGGCTGGCAGTGCTGATGCCCAAGTGAGTCAGGTTGGCAGCGAGATTCCCGGTGCTATTGGAGCTACTGAGGGCAGGGAATGTGGATTCCTCGGGGTCCAGCGGCGTGGGGAGCGGGGAAGGGAAGTGGATGTTGGTCAGGTCCGGCAGGGAGCCGCCCGTGTTGTGCGTGGCAGGAATCAGGGCTGTAGTGTTTTCCTGGTCGGCTGATGGGAAGATGCTAAATTAGGGAGAGAGGGGGGAATAAAGAAAAAAAAGACACATCTCAGGTGGAATTCCAGCTTTCCAGGACGGTTTTCCCAGAGGGAATTCCATCTGTAACACCAGGTATTGGATGTTCGACCAACATCCAGAGCAGGGTTAGACCATGGGAGGCTTTTCCAGGGAATTCCAAAGCAAGAGGATATTCAACACACAGGTTTTGTTTGTTTTTTTTTTCTTAGAAAGATCTCAGTGCTCTTCAAAAAAAAAAATAAAATAAAGTTTTGCTCAAAACTTACTTGATTCCTGGAACTTCACATGATTTAGGTCTGGATGACCCGGTCTGAAAGAGAAGGGAGAGAGTTTTAAAGGCAAAGATGCTGCTGGAAATGAGTGTTCAGGATGTATTTCAGCTCAAAAGTTTAATTATGTACATTTCTATAGCACAGCTACTCTACACAAGAGCTTTGTGAAGCTCTTAGGAGATATTTATCACCCTTTTTTTGCTTTATTGTCCAAACGAATCTTAAATTCCAAGATTTTCTCCTGATAAAATCAATCCCGTGCCTACACACGTGAATACCTAAAAATGCCTTTCTGGTCTATTTTTTAGAATTTGTTTCTAAACACAACATTTAATCTCGAATCTCCTCAAGTGGTTTGTTACTGTGACAATGTTTAAAGC